ACCGAGATCAGTAATGATGGGAGCGGGACCGGGGATGAGGAAGCGGGCGGGGGTGATTCAGAAGCGGTTCCGGGGGTGATGGGAGCAGGACCGGGGGTGATGGGAGCGGGACCGGGGGTGATGAAGGCGGGATCGGGGGTGATGGCAGCGAGACCGGAGGTGACGAAAGCGGGTCGGGAATGATGGGAGCGGGACCGGGGGGGATGGGAGCGGGACCGGGGATGATGGCAGCGGGACCAGGGACGATGGAAGCGGGACCGGGGTGATGGGAGCGGGATCGGGGTGATGGGAGCGGGATCTCGGGGATGATGAAAGCGGGCCTGGGGGGTGATGGAGGCGCGACCGAGGGTGATGGGCAAGCATGAGCGACAACGGCCGCCACCAGCTGGGCGGGACACGGGCCGCAAACCAACACCACGGCCGACACGCAGCCGCCGGTCGTCAGCCTTTGACAGATGGCACGCGGAAGGGTTGGCAGATGGGCACCGCCGCTCGCCCCCCGGGGAGGCGACACCACGACATGTGACGGAGCGCGGGCCAGGCCGCGGCAGAGGACGGTGGGGCGCAGGCCGCGTCCCTGCATTAGCCTCTGTCTGATTCCAGCTGCACAGGCGAGAGCGCCGCCGCAACACGTTACCTTCGAGAATGACGGCGAGCCGGTGGCAATATAGAGTGAATGAATAATTCAAACCGCTGGGCAGTAATCAATGCCTGGCGTACTATTTGAGCCGTTTTACTGTGGCCCTACGGTATTGCGAATTGACGAACTTGCGTTTGATGTTTCGGCAAATGCAGCTTGTTCACGCGATCCAAAAACCCTCATGATAACCAGGTGTGTTCACGCGAACCAGAACCATTAATGACAACGTTTGGCATCACGCGAATTACAGCACTATCCAAACGTCGAAACACATCTATAAGTCACACCCCGTGAGCGTGTCGCAACGTGGTGCGAAACGCTGTGGACCTTACCAGCCCCACCCCACTGTCATGTATCAGAGAAAGCGAATAGGCCGCACATCGTGTCAGTTCCGTCCAGGGCGAGGCAGCAGCGCAGACTCGCGGGCCGCACCGCCTTGTTTCCCGCAAGCCGACTGACTGGCAGTGTCACTCTCGGCGGCATTTGTAAACGGAGTAGTGCTGGCAAGTTTAACGCAATTTCAGACAACACAATGGAGCTTGTTTGCTTTAGTCTCAGTGCGTTGCGCGATAGTTCGGATTGATCTGATTGTGATTCAAACTACGAGCGTGTTGCAAGTAGCAGGGGTGAGGATCTGAAGCCACAATGCCTCCGACTATTCGATTATACGTGCAGCTGGTCCGTTCGCTCGAGTCAGCGGCATCGGCAGGATTTCACAAATGACGACCGGCACAGCAAAAAACGTCTCATTCATAAAATCGTCAAACTGCGCTACAATCGCGGAGTTTCCTACGCAGCGTAGGACAATAAATGATGTTCTCGCGCAGCTTATTTTTGCGCGTCTACTGCCACTTTCAAGTGTCGAAATGCATTCATTTGACCATGGTTGCAAGCGAAGCTAGTATGAGACGGAAACGTGACCCCCGGCGCCCCTTCCCTTTAATACGCCACTGGTTACGGGCGGTTACCTTCTGCGCGGCCTCAACCGACAAAGCTACGCGGCAATCCATCAGGCTTCAGTTAATATGGCGTCAATAGATAACTAACTGCTCCAAGCCGACTTAACCTAGACTGCACCAATGACATAAAAACTTATCAAAAAATTATCGTACTTATCAAAAAATAGCTACATTGCTATGCGAGTACGTGTACAGTGAAGGGCAATCAAAATGACGAAAGAAATTCCCGGCATTATATGTTTTCTATTCGCCATGTAAAAGTAAACAGATCATTAGTGGGTCACGTTAAAGGGGATGTATCACAGTTGAACACATTGAGGCAAGTATCAGATGTGATGGAACAAGCTCACTTATAACTTTTAATATACTTTTTAAGTGGAAAAACTGTTCTAGACGGCATAATTATTTGTTTAATATGCTGCTCAATGCATCATGGTTCGATTACGCCATCGTCAACTGGCTAGTTGACGACCGTTATATTTGAAAATCGCGCTCATGAACGCCAGATATGAACGCCACGACAATCATACTGTAATTCGCATTGATCGAACCATGGCTTACGGAATGGCAGGATTTGAATGACGTTAATATGACGTGATTGAAAACCAGGGTGACTAGAATACCCTTCCGATATACCTTTCCCCATTTTGCGGACAAGTGGCTCAGAAACTAGAAGGGCTTACGTCTTAAGAAGGGCATGATTGTGAACAGCATCGAATGGTCTTCAAAATGGCTCTTCCAGTTCAAAACCCTATACAAATGTGGAAACTCCCGTTCAGGAGCGCCATAAAGGGTATTAGATGTCAGCGTCACCCATAACAGCTAGATCTATCGGTTCCAACTCCGACTATCACCGGCCAGTCATCCCAACATCAGCCATCCTCACAAGCCGTTCTGCGCCCCATGCGGCCGCCTGTCCCTCTCCAACCTCAGGAAGCGGGCAGCATCAGCCGCGTCAGCACGTCTCACTTGAGCGACTGCAGGACGGCGTTCATGAAGCAGGTGTTGCCGAGGTTGCGCAGGCCGGCGGAGCAGCCGGGCCGCTGCGCACCCTGGGGGTCGGCCGAGCGGCCCCGGCGCCGCGCCGGCCGCTTACCCACGCGGTTCTCGGCCTCGCCCTCGCTCTCAGAGACCACCAGCCTGGCGACGAGGCGGCCAGTCAGAAGCACGTGAGGTCAGTGACGTCAGGGGCACGTGAGGTCAGAGAGGTCAGGGGCACTAAGGTCAGCGAGGTCAGGGGTGCGTGAGGTCAGCGAGGTCAGCGGCACGTGAGGTCAGTGAGGTCAGGAGTGCGTCAGGTCAGCGAAGTCAGGGGTGCGTCAAGTCAGCTGTTTCCGGACGCGCGGACACTGATGTACCGCGTGAGGGGTGCCTGCTTGGTGTCCGAAAAAAATGCCTTCGAAGTGAAGCGACTTTCAGAAGCTCATCCAAAATACGGATTGGAGAAGCTTTTGAGTCCACCACAATGAGCAAGGCAGGTGCCCACATGCAGTGAGCGGGAGGTCATGTGCAATAGGGTGCTAATGCCGAATGATAACGAACATCACGCTGACCAAGATGCTGTCGTCATCCTAATCGTCAATACACATTTGGACGACCTGGACCCCAAACCAGCACAAATTAGGCATATGCCGACCCACCACCAACGGTATATACCACGATGAACACTACAAAGGTGGAGATGAAAGAAAAGCAAGAACGAAAAATGGGAAAAATGAACAAAAACTCGGTTTTCTGACCGAAAGAAAAAAGGAGAACAGAAAGCAGTTTTTTTTTAAAGTTGGGGTCAGCAGCAATTTTCAGCTACATGAGTTGAGGCCCCGTGGTCTGCTTATGCCAATCTCTGCCGACGAAAAGAAGGGGCTGTCAACAGTCACACACCTAGTGACACAAAATTCATCACGAAATGGTGCCTCATGCCACAAAGAGTGTCATTTTATGAATGAGTCCAGGCCCAAATCCATGTCTACCATTCTCTTCATGCATCAAAGTCATCCATATCGGGCCGCACATTGAAATGACAAGCCGAGCAGATTGTTCAGGCCTATCGCCACCGCCCCATGCTTCCATCAATCGTCAAGAATCTATCGCGTCCGTTGCACAGCCAACTGGCCTATTCATCACCTGTCAGCATGTTTGGTCGCATAAGCTGATCAGTGCTCATACAGCAGACGGTAGAAACTAATCCTTCTCCGCAGAATCACACACTTGTCTCTGTGTTCGCTCCGCGCTGAGCAAAACGTATGAACACCTTTCCATCACCCATAGCTGTCGTCAGCTTTGCCCGGGCGCGCTCACACGACCAACAAACCGGTGGCGCCGCACGGCGGCAGACTCACCGGTTTCTTTTCCGTTTTCGACCGCTAGGTGGCCGCACGATGACGTCACCATTGGCCTCGGCCGAGTGGACGGCGGACAGTGCGCCCCGCACCCGGTCTATGGCGCCACCGCCCGTGTCGTTGAAGACGAAGTCGTCGCATTCATAGCTGCAAATATAGGTTGTTCGGTAATAGGCGCACGCGTAAGTGCGAAAAACACGCACTGAAGGGATGTAACGGGCCGCATGTACCATCATGTAACGTCACGGGCTTATTTGCGAGGAAGTGGTGGTTTGGACAAATACGTACCGTCCCGACCTGTACCAGTCCTGAATACGACTCTGTCAGCTTCGCCTTACGGCATTTTAAACATGCCCGATGCTCCGTAAAAGGTCTCTGAACCGGCGACCAAGCTCGGCCGACGAGAACTGGTCCTCTTGTAAGCTTTCCGATAACAACCTTGGTGTCCTTGAGAACGTCCATGAACAGGAATCCGGTGCCTGACCAGGCTCACTAGGACAGTCTGCTTAACACGGGTACCCAGCATTGCAGGCGGTTATTGAGGGTGGGCAGATGGTGGCTTTTAATGCCATGTTTACAACATTGCCAGTGAAATACCGACCGACCGCTGTTTGAAGTGGTCTGACCAGGATAATAATGAGCCGATCTGGGTGGAAAAATCGTGCCCAGTCAAGCGAAACCGTTAGTCTTACCAGGAACCAGCCAAACAAAACCTCGCACATACCAATGCTATTTTCTAGCGCGTGTCCTTGCCATTTCAGCTTACATGCTAAGCGTTTACCATCCTGGACCAAAACCTCATTTGCTGCCAACACTGCTCACATCGACACCACCAATAGAATAACAATGCCGTCGAACGCGCACCGCCAGCCGAGAGCATCACCCGTATTCCTACGACCGGTCATCTAAAGGAGAGGGGAGGGGGGGGGATGCACGGAGGAGGTGTGTGGCGTTCTCACCAGAAGACCGACAGCTGCCGGCACTCGATGCAGACGGCGTGGCTGTCGCGCTGCTCATGGTGGCGCTTAGCATGGCCCGACACGTACCGCCCGCAGCCGACGAGCCGCAGTGCAGGCACAGCCAGGGCGAGTCGGTGGTGCGGCACACTGAGGCACAGGTCACGTCACAGTGAGCAGTGCATGAAACTGAGGCACAGGTCATGTCACAGTCAGCAGTGCATGACACTGAGGCACAGGTCAGTCAGAGTCAGTGGTGTGGCACACTGAGGCACAGTCATGTCACAGTCAGCAGTGCATGACACTGAGGCACAGGTCATGTCAGAGTCAGTGGTGTGGCACACTGAGGCACAGGTCATGTCACAGTCAGCAGTGCATGATGCTGAGGCACTGGTCATGTCACAGTCAGTGGTGGCACACTGAGGCACACACGGTTATGTCACAGCTAGTGGTATGGCACACTAAGGCATCTTCTGGCTCACTAGGCCATGATGCAAAATGCTCCCAACTAATGGGTTCCATTGTGCATAAAGAGAGGTTACACCTAAAGACATACTATGAAGTCTGGTATAACATGCTCATCATGACAACCCAGCAGCACAGTGTGAGGGGAACATTCCCCCAGCTCACTTTTTCAAGTGCCACTTTTATTTGAAGACATCTTTTAGAATTGAATAGAATTTAGATAATAAAATTTAGATAATAGAAAAAAGAATTTAGAATTGAATAGAAAAATAGAATAGTAGAATGGCATAGATATCAGGCATGTCTTTGGCCTTAGCAGACAAGTAATTCACATCAGAAAGGCATTTATGGCACATATAGCATATAAATATGTATAACAGCATATAACAACACACAATAGCCTGTGGCAACTGGTGCTAATAGTGCACAGTAGAACCAATGGTAATAGCAACCACCAATGCCTGCCAATCAGGAGGAGTACACAGGCTGCTGACAGCCAAGCACATATATATTAAACCAAGCACCAGAATATCCATGTTATGCCATCCACGCAGCCCCACAACTTGTTTTACCTAGTTCTACCATGGACTAATACATCCTGATCTCATGCAGTTACAGCAGAAACATTGTCACAGTATGCAGAAGTGGAATATTTCTATTCACAAAAGGTAGCTTTCAATATATATATATATATATATATATATATATATATATATATATTCAATACAAACATTTTTACTTAATGGATTTCAGGGATCAGCATTCATGCTAAGCAGTGTGTGTTGTGCTAACCCTGACCCCACCATTATATCAGGAAATTTCAAGTGAATGACTTCATTATGGTATATGGTGAGGTGCAACAAGCTGCAATTTTATAGTGGATGTGAAATATGTTATAGGGGTGTTTGCACATTTCACATATGACAGCACACAGATAACTGATAAATGCAGCTCTGGTATCATAAAGCAAAAACAACATAAACTATACAAACTATAATATATTTGGTATACATTATGCATAAAGAATTGCAACAAATCAGTCTGCTACCTTCACATTTCCACAACTTGGAATGCTGCAAGACTTGGTCTCTCTTGATCTTCACATTTTCTTCCAGATGTGGACACTCCATCAGTTTAAGTGAGTTTGCCTTTTGTCTGAAATACAGAGAAAAAGAATACAATTTCATGAGAGTTCAATGCTCCATGCATCCCTTACACCAGAACACAATACAACACTATAACAAAACAACGTGAAGCAATGGCCTGCATACCACTAAAATAAAAATAAAAATGGCATGTCTTCTCAGTATGTGCTCCCTGCTTAGTCTGGGACAACAGAGCATGCAAGACAGACATGTAACTTTGTAATGGGTCTTCCATCAGTTACAATGACCTCAAGTTAAAACTATGGTTTTTATTTATTAAAAAATATAATTACATTATAATGATGCATGTTAAAAAACATGATGTATATATATAAATAATATATATATATATATATATATATATATATATATATATATATATATATATATATAAACATGATTATTTACTTTGCTATATATGCTGAGACCAGAACAAACCAGACCAGAACAAAATATAACAATGAAGTAGAAATTCTTGCAGATAGCCTACATTATACTTGATCACATTGGTCAAAAACCAGGTTCCATAGCTGGAAATATTTGACATTTTCATTACACATTTCAATAGCTGCCTGCTAGCATGAGCAACTTAGCACCTCTGGCATCCCAAATAAAAATAAACACTTTCAGCATCAGATATCCAAGTGCATGGGAGCTTGCCCAAGGGGGACTCAAGAACACTCAGTGCCTTCTCATCATATACCCCTGTGAGCCAGGTACCAGATTTTCCCAAAAATTGTGAGGCTCGACTTCAAGCTAAGTCAAAAGCACCACAATATGATAGCACCAGCAACCATGCAGATAGGTATAATCCTCACACATCCCATGACAAAATCCTCATGATAGGCTTTCATGTTAAAGCCTGGAATAGTGAGTTACAATTTCAAATGAACTACTAGAGCTATTTCCTAAAATGTCATAGTGTTCCACCTGGGTGCCCGCCCACCTACCTACTATGTCACCCACTGTAAACAAAAGATTCGCTGACACCTGGGTAACGTCATAGCTCATCGTGCTCTGGCAGCAAACTGATTATTGAATTTCCGAGCATTGACACCATAATATGCTTTGTTTCGAAGAATCGCCAAGACCATAATGATAAAATAAACCATAACGTAACCTCGCCGTGGCACGTTGGAATCGTGCCAAGGCGGGCACCAGCAACGTATCACGTTTTATGCGAGTGACATCTCGTTAACCCGATACAATGCAAGCCCACTAAAATCACGTGCTGATTACTAACAGCCAACTTATCGAATATCCTCATTGGACCTCTGTTCTCCATACTTACATATCACTACCTCCAAATGTCTATTGGATCAAAACTGCCCACGGACTCGGCCTTGCATGGGATTCATGGGCCCGGGATCAAGGGCCGGGGATTGCGGTGGTTGCTTTGGGCCTTGGGCTTCACGCCGGTTACGCCTAGATCGTTCATAAATGAACCCTCTAACAGCACTAAGCTGGGAACATGCACGACTGAATGATGAAGCCGTAGGAAGCAAGGAGGAGGAGGGCTTGGTAGGTACTCCCGGTTAACCTTACTCTCTGAAACAATTAAAAATGTACACCTTGAAGTTGCACGAAATCAAGCGGGAAACGCGTTCAACGCAATCCCATCGGGCCACTTATAACCTACGTAACGATGGACGTGTACTGTTGCTACATCGGCAATTTAGTGAAAAGCCTCAATTCAAAAAGCACCAAAGGTGTCTGGAAAAACTATGAAAAGCTGGAGACATATTTCATGGATTGTGGTGAAGAAGATCTGTCGTCGTCACTACCTCTGGGCCTGTGTATAGGCACCACTTTGCGAGAAATAAATCACCTTCAAATAGCTTAAAGTTTGCCCTTTCACGGGGTTTAAAATCACTTCGCTGGAAAGTAAAGCACAGTGGACAATCAGGCTGCCTATCATGAGCGTTGCAAAGTTTCAAAAGCATACGAAGGAATATCCTCCCAAAATGGAACTTGTTACGTCATAGTTCGTGTTGATAACGAACGAGTGACCAATGCTTTGTTAAAATTTCAAGGTCACAGTAGCGATTCTTTTGATTGTCGGATGCGGATTACGCTAATAGCGAATCCGTGAAGGGGATAAGATGTTATTGCTTCCCCTTAGCCTTTGAAAAACAGCAATAGTTGCTCTAATTTAACTTCATTTAGTGTAATGGCACCAAACCCAGGTTATTGTCACCCAGGTTGACTCGCACTTTCCAAGGTCTGGCGCTGAATCCATCCCGGGCAAAACTTTCGGTGGTGCAGCAGACCCGCTTGCTAAAAAGTGGAATATAGCTGTTCTGGGACAGGTTAGCCAAATTTTTCCACGCACCGCATAATCTCTGTATGCGCTGATCGGATTAACTTGAATGTTCTAGCAGCGTTGCAGCCAGGATTTTCTTTGGAAGGGGGGGGGGGGGGGGAGGGAGCGGCGGCGGGGCTCGACGAGGCGTGCATCATGCGGATTTTCACATTTCTTTCTGATGACATCTGTGGTCAAAAACAAGAAAAATTCGAACTTAAGGGAGAGAAAGGGTACCCGATTGCCTCCACCTTCCCTGCGTATGCTAGCGAACCACGGACCCGGATGGACCTGGAATGGACCGCGGGAATCCCGGATTACCTGTTTGATCGCGCGGCTTGCTTTTATGCAGCAGCGTACACGTGCATGCATTAGCTGCAGGTGTTTTTGCTACTCGGAGATTGGTGCAAAAACACGGTCATTGCAAATAATCGTTATGTATTCATCGCAAATAGCTAATTCACGCCACTCGTGTTGGCCGGTGCTGCGTGTTCACCCGGAACCCCAGTACCCCGATCATCACAGTTCACCGAGGGACGTCGCTCAGTGTCCTCCGACCCGCACCCGTTCTCGCCCCACTTGATCCGGTGCAGCTTGACGGCGTGATCCGCCGCGCACGACGCCAGCAGGTCAGTGGCGCCCTCCTGCGGGCCGGGCCGGAACTGCAGCCTCTTCACCGCGCTGTGGTGGGCGGCGCTGGTGTCGAGCGCCGCCTGCTCCACCCAGCCGCCCGCGGCGCTCCAGTTCAGCAGCCGGACGCAGCCCGTCTCCAGGCCTACGGCAAACAGGCCGGATGGCGCGGCGGCGACGGCGGTGACCGCCGCTCCGGGCCGGTACGGCGCGCCCTCGCGCTCCCAGCCGGCGGCGCCACCGGGGCGCCAGCGCAGCAGCTGACCGTCGCGCGAGCCGGTCACGAAACCACCGCCGTCCGGCAGCCAGGCGCAGCACCAGATGATGCGCGAGTGCGCGCGCACGCCGCGCGCGGCCAGCCTGTACAGCGGCGCCACCCGTTCCGACCCTTCCGCCGGCGGCTCGGACTCCACGCGCTCGAACACGGACCAGGTGCGGTCCCGCGACACGGTCAGCAGGCGGCGGTCGTCGGGCGAGAAAGCCAGCTGCACCACGGACAGCTGGTGCACGCCGCCGAGCGCACCGACCTGCCGCCAGTCGGCCGTCTCCCAGAGCAGGACGGCGGCGTGCTCCGGGTGCGCAGCGCGGCACGCCGTGGCCAGCAGCCGGCCGTCGCCGCTGGCCGCCATCGCCAGCAGCTCGAAGCCGTGGCCGTAGAGCTTGCGCAGCTCGGGCCAGAGCGTGTCCTGCAGGAGCGTCTCCTCGGTGGGCGGCGCCCGCAGCTGCGGCCGCACGAAGCATGCGTCCGCCGGCTGGTCGCGGCGCGCCATCGGCTGCGCCGTCTCCTCGGTGGCGAACACGGGCTTGTTGCTGAGCCCGAGCGAGGGCACGGCGGCGCCATCGGGCAGTGCCTCCTCCGGCGGCGGCGCGGCGTCCGGGCCGCACAGCGTCGCCAGCGTCTCGCGCACTGCCACCGGCATGGCGAACGCGCGCGCTACCTTCTCCTCCGCCCCGGATGCGAAGCGCGCGTCGGAGACGGCGGCCAGGCAGTCCAGGTCGTGACCGTGCACCTGTGGCCGGCCCATCTCGTGCCACGAGCCGGCCGACGCCCAGCGGCCGTGCAGGCGCGTCGTCTGGTCGCGGCCGCAGGTCAGCAGGTACCCGCCGCCGGGTGCCCAGGCGAGGTCACTGACGGGGCCGGCGTGGCCCCCGCACGGCACGGCCGGTCGCCACAGGCCCGGCTCGGCCTCGGCCCAGACGTGCAGCGCGCCGCGCTGGCCCTGCGCCGCCAGCCGGTCGCCACGCGGGCTCCACGCGCAGCCGAGCAAGCCCAAGCCGCTGCCGCCGACGGCGCCGAGCCGCGCCGCCTCCACCCAGACGCCGGTGGCGGCGTCGCGCTCCCACACGAGCAGCGCGCCGTCCATGGCCGCTGACGCCAGCGGCGGCGCGGCGGTGGCGCGCGCGGCACGCGGCCGCCAGCGCAGCCCGTACACGCGGCCCTCGTGGCCGGAGAGCACCGACTCGAGCGTGACGGTGAGCAGCAGCGGCCGGCCGCAGCGGTCGCGCGCCGCTATCGTCTGGCTGTGCAGGCGGAGCAGGTCGGGCTGCTCCGCCGCGTCGTCGGCCTCGCGCACCGTCCACACGCGGATCGTGGCGTCCTGGCCCCCAGAGGCGAGCAGCAGGTCGCCGCCGACGACCGCGACATCTAGGCAGCGCACCCAGTCCTCGTGGCCGACTAGGCGCAGCGCCGCAGCGTACGCGCCGTCCTCGCCGGGCGCGAACACCACGATGGCGGCGTCGTCCGAGCCGACCAGCAGCCAGGGTGCGGCAGCGGCCGGCGGCAGCGCCAGACGCAGCGCCAGCGCCAGGTGCTGCGCCGACGCCTGGCCGGCGCCGAGCGCCAGCGTCTGGCGCGGCGCCACAGCGTCGGCCATCACGCCCTCCCACAGCCGCACCGAGAAGTCGGCGGCGGCGGTGGCGCAGGTGATGACGCGCCGCCCTGCGGCGTCCTCCCAGCACGCGGCGTCAACCAGCGTTACGGGGCCGCCGTGGCCCACGAGCCGCGCCGCCACGGCCGGCGGCTCTGACGCCATGTCCCAGAGCGCTGCCGCATGGTCGCGTGAGCCGGTCACCGCCAGCGGCAGCGCTGCGTCGGACGGCAGCTCGCGCGCCCAGCGGCACGCGATGACATCGCCGGCGTGGTGGTGCAGCGTGTTGGTGAGCCGGAAGCCAGTGTCGCCGCCGGGCAGCGGCTCCGCCACCGCCAGCGCCTGGCACGAGCCGAAGCACAGCCGGCCACCGTGGCCCCAGTCCAGCGCGCCTGGTGTGCAGCTGCAGGCAGCTGAGATGTACTCGGTGCTCACTGTGCACGGCATGGCGTAGCACCGGAGGTCCGCAGGGCTGTGGGGGAGAATGGAATGGTGTGGAGTGTGGGGGTCTCATCATCATCAATGGCAGATTCTCACAGCTGAACTCATTGTCACTCAAGAATGTTGCTTAGACTAGACAGGCCCTGGTAGGTGCCCAGCCAAATCACACAGCCTAAAATGGTGCAAAACCCAGTTGTGCTCCTGAGCAAGCTCATAAGACTTTACAAATGCTATGTTTAATACAAACCTATGAAAATAGCCAACTACCTACAAGATGCGCTGACAGGTACACAGATGGCTGGACAGTCATTCTTTCCATACCTGCCATTTTCACATGATGCCTACAGATAAAATTATAAAATGTGTGTGTGGGCACATTTGAATGTGTGATGATTTGATGCATCAGATCACCACATGACACCCCAAGTATTCAGTAGTAGCTGCTTCTGGTCATTTTTGATTTCCACATGCAATTAAGCCAATTTTTCACTCTAACATTGGTCAAGATGTTTAAAAAAGAAGTTTAACCTGGAGCTTAAGTCAATACTTGTAGTAGATGAAACCAATTAGCTCTATGTAATGGGAAGGCAGTGGGATGGCATTGTGACCACTACTTAAACATGGTTGTTATATTGCCTACTCTCCTTAGGCTAGAAATGAGTATATCAAAAACTGATACCAATTGACTACCTGCAGAAGGACAGAGTGGGCCAGCTGATAAATCAACACTTATAATTACCCTGGTGTCTAGCAATATATGTACAACTTTATTTGGTCCTGAGTCCCATTGTGAAGTCAAATATGAAGGGCCAACATAACTATGAGGACCATACAAATGTAATTGTAGCAGCACAGTCCAGCTGAACCATAATTCTACTTTAAAGCAAACATTGGTGTCTACCATGCCAAAAATAGCAATGCATGGGGACAATTGCACACCAGCCACCTAATGTGCTTCTATTCCCCTTGAATGGTTCAGTATTTGATGTTCTTATAAGCTAAGCATGCAGTTGGTAAGATATTTATGCCCACATATTTTAATGAGCTACCCTAAATTGAAAGCTGTGGAATGGTGTGCTAAAAAAATTAGCATGTCATAATGTTTGGCATGGCATGCCCCACCCCCTGGTGATCCCGAGCGGACAATGCTATCTGCCATAGGCTATCCAGTGCCAATGGCAATGCAGGCCGTCACGTGTCCAGGGCAAGACGCAAAAAGCGAAAGCGCATAACGACTTGAAAATTCGCCACACCACAAGTGGCTTGGTAGGAAGACACTCCAACTGATAGGGCCACGGGGTAAAAGACTCACCGCAACTGTTAGGCGAGGAATAGTTCAGAAAGCAAATAAGTCAAAACAGCGAAGCGCCAACCCACTCCAACCCCGCATCGCGCGTGTCAACTCGTCCCCTATGATACCATGCACCGCGACGCGTAACGCGATTGGAAAGGATGCGTAATACTTTGTATCAAGCATTATGAGCTGGCATATTTGTATATGATCTGGACCCAGATTCCCTTCACACCTCACCCAAACACTTGAATTATTCGAAACATTTCTAACATTCGATATTTGTAAGGAATTTGCAAGCGACGTCATATGAAGTAGCGTAGCCAAGGATGACTGAAAGGTATATCCCTTCCCGCTGGAGGTGATAGGGGTCATCCTGGTGCTAAAAGTCCCAGCGATTTGTTGGCTTTAGATACAAAGAGGAGGGAATACACGGCGGATCAAACCTGCTGACAACTTCATGCTCCAAGCCCATGACACCGATCGACACCAAACCTTCCCCATTTAGTGCCACTTGGTAACCTATCCCGCTTACATTAAGGTGGCCTTGGGTCCGGTCAAAGTCACCAAAAGCGCCCGCAGTTGTGGCATCAAACGGTTTTGTGCGTTTTTTTGTGACTTTTGACCAGATTCGATGTCACCATGTTCTGGAAAAGAGAGGATATCGGCTACGACACATTGATTGCTGAAGGTTTTATGCTGATCGATCCCATAGGCTCGGGTCATGGGTTGTCTGCAACCCCGTTTTTCCGGGTTTTGGTATTTTTGGTGTGACCTTTGACCTGACCCAAGCTCACCATATTTTGGATAGTGCGGGTTATCGAACAGGATCAAATGACAAAGTTTTGGTGTTGATCAATCCCATATCTCGAAGCGTGGCGTCGTCAACAGGACTGGTCGGCCGTTCAGTCCTTCCCATCATAAACCGGCCCTCGAGGCATCAAACTGATGCCAAGACATTCCGACATCCTGAGAATGATCGAGAGCCTTGAAAAGTTTCCCAACTCTGATAAGCCCATACATCGCCCATCGCCACCAGCTCTGTGTTTGAACGTACGTGTTCTCGCTTAGAAATCTCGATGGAATGTCAGCGGTCGCAAATACCACTGACGAATTGCTCCACGCTGGTTGCACCGAAGGGGCCAGGAGAGAGGTCCTTGCCCACCGCAGCCAGCGCTCCGGGTGAGTTAACGTCGATGACCTGCACCATGCATCGAACGACTACTTTTGCTGCTTCGAAACGCCTTTGCCAATATAGCTAATGCTTTCTTGATAACGTCGCTTAAATAGCGCCCCTGGTTTACGTAACATCAGTTATTGTCCGAAAAAAAAATCCCAACCCAAAACGCTGAGGCACCATCAGGTCAGTTGTTGTACTAACGGTGATAAATGCGTTTTCGAGCACCTTCAGCCCGCGACCATGTGTAAGAAACGCGCAGTGGTCACTTGCTTTGCGTGCTACTTTTTAACAAAATATGTTTGACCTGTTGATCAGAGGTTGTCTTTCGAAACGAATTAGCCTGAAATCGGTGTGTTCTGAATGAAGAGCGGGAGTAGGTTCTGTTGTGCCGAACTTGGCCCCAATAACTTAAACCCGGACTCCCCCCCCCCCCCCCACCCCACCCGCACTCTTTCCGGGAGCGATCTCCAGCCAATGCCGATTCAGTCAGCAATGACCGGATCCTGGACTCTTCCCCTCCCCCACACTTTCCGAGAGCGATCTCCAGCCAATGCCGATTCAGCCAGCAATGGCTGAATCCTGGACTTCCCCCCCCCTTTCTCCCAAACACACTTTCCGACGGCGAAAGTGTGTGTGGAGGGAACTCCAGCCATGTTCTCCGTGTCAACACCTTGTCTCAATGCAGGCCACTCAAAGATAGGGGAGTCCGCTCCCAGTACGGGTGTCGAGCTGATGAGCGACGTAGATCGGAACAAACCCTCGTGCTAACCGGTCCGGCATGTCAGTGTAAACAAGTTACCGGTCCGGTCCGTGAGCATCAACAACCTACGGGTCCAGTCCAGCTGGTGTAAACAAGGCTAGCGCTTGGGATGCGATCTCAGAAGCCAAATCGAACCTTGGACGTTCAGATTTCGATGTGTAAAGGTGCGGTATAAATTCTACTAAAAAGCAGGGAGTGATTTTCATCATGACATCCTTTCCGATTTCAAGAGCTTAACCACATAGATAAGAGCTTCTAACTACAAATGCACTGAATAACTTGCGTAAGCTTCTTAACTAGGATGTCAGTGAGACAATCCAAAAAAGTTAAGCGTACCATAATGCAGGGAAATTCATGAATGGCTTGTGTCACTCGGATAAACTGGCAATGTGGCGAAATGAAAACAAAAGTGAAAGGCAAAATCACCCGGAGAAGAAGTCCCATACTTTTAACACTGTTTTAGGCTGTCATTTACGTGCAAATGCGCTTTAGACCACAGTCATTGCAGTTTGGTGGCATGACGTCGCCGACGAGGCACCCTGGTGGATCTCGCGTTAGAGTTGCTGCTGTGTTCACTCCTTGCTTTCTCAGGCGTTTTTTTTGCTTTTTCCTGGCCATTTCCCTGACGAGTTTTGCAGTTCGAAACTTTTGATGTGCACAATAACAGGACGCAAAGGGCCACAGAATAGGGTGTGCGTGAACGCTGGATCCCTAATGTTAGCACACTGGTATTGTTCATGACTTCGGCCGTATCTCGAAGGCCAGCCCGGCCTTTGAATCAAGTAAACACGGTGCGTCATGAGGTCGGTAAGAGGCGTTGCTGTGTTGCAGTGATATCCACACCATGTTTAATTGTCCACCGAATGCTGTGAATCATTTAGTATTGTGTTACTAGTTCCAAAAGCCGGGTAGCGCTGTCGGTGGATGAACTTTCACGAATTCGGATCCGAAATGTATTTGTTCATAATACGGGAAGAGAGAGAGGAGAGAGAGAGAGGAGAGGAGAGAGAGAGAGAGAAGAGAGAGAGAGAGAGAGAGAGAGAGAGAGAAGAGAGAGAGAGAAGAGAGAGAGAGAGAAGAGAGAGAGAGAGAGAGAGAGAGAGAGAGAGAGAGAGAGAGAGAGAGAGAGAGAGAGAGAAAAGGCAGAGACGTAGCTAGTGACATTCATTAATTCACACATGCGTGCATACATTCACACTCCTTTTTCGAACCATGGGTCCTCCGCGACTCGTTCTGGTGACTCGGCAAGCAGGATTGTTTCGCTGGGGCCTAACAGGCTGCCGTGGTATGCATGCATGCGCAGCCCTTATGCGTTGTACGCAGGCAGGGTCACATAAGTCCGGTGCTCCGACTTGATGGACGACCTGAACGGCAGCGACAGACGCCCAGATATCGACTTGCGAGTCGTGCCCGCGCTTTCCTCACTGGCACCGCTCCAGCCCCAGTTTTCTCAGCACCCCGTCTCGGCAGGGCCAGGTGTCGCCACCAGCCGTAAGCCGGCTTCACGGCCGCGCCGGGGGAGGGCATCACGAGCGATCTCGGAGGCGCCCGCACAAGCCGCAAACAGGGTACTCTGCGTGGTGTTGGGCTTGTTAGTGGAGGCCTGCCGCGACGACCACGGCCCTGCACAATTACCTAATTCGCTGCTTGATCTCATAGCTTTGAAATGGCCGGAGTGGCTCTAGTCGAAATCGAACGAAGTAAGTACTGCTAGCATTATCATCCGAGCCTGGGGTGTAATATGTACTTCAAACGCGTAGCCCGTTTCATCCATCACCTTTTAATCTATTAGTAAAAGTATGCAATACTTTGATGACAAGTTCAACCGATACGCAGTCAGTGAGGTCTGCGGGGAACTATGCGAGTGATGGGCCTAATATTTGCAATCCCGCTTCTGGCTGAGGTGACCAAACACATTGAGATTTAGATTATAATTTACGTTACGGTAGATCAAGTTATGGTTTCGAACTTCAAAACGGCAAAATCACGCTGAGTTGGACTGCAAAATTAATTCTCCCAGTTTCAGATAAAATGTCATTGTGTGGCAAAACAAAATGTCCTTATAACCCTTAAAAGCCAGTGCTTATTCGGAAGCGTCAAAGCAGCCATGAACAAAAAGATAGCCTGGTATGTTGTGAAGTGGCAAGCAACCTTCTATAAAAAATGATATGAACATCACAATGGTGCGATTTTGCAGTGGTGTTTATTCCAGTGCAAAGAATATCCACACAGCACTTTTTTATCGTGGAAGGGGTTTTCAGCAAGAACTGGCAGAATTATGAATAAAATTTGGCTTACCTTCGCGATTTATTACGTGGTTGACGCACACAATTTACACTGATTCACAAGGCGAGTATTTGATTGCCAAAATATAGTGGCATTTCTGTTGCGTGTGTTGTGCACTATGCGTTTATCTAAGTCACAATTCAAAATGTGTTGCTGGCGATGAGATATGCCCGGACTCAACGAGCAGTTGAAGTTCAAGAATTATGTCATAACGCCATGGAACGCTCTAAAAACTGAAAAAATAACAGTTGTTTTACGAAACTTGACCAGTTGCATTAGTCCTCAGCGCCTAGAATTGTGTAAATCCGAATCAGCATGTTCCAAACTGCACTAAACAATATAAACTACTGAAGAGGCCTTTTTCCAGGCTCGTATCGTGAGCATAGAATATCGTTGGCTTCGTGCAATCATCAAAGATCACCTTCAATATGTAGCGGACATTGGGCATCAATTGGCGGACGTTGTCATGATGCCCTGTCCGCTGCTCTGCACTTTGTATCTTGTATGTGGTAGGAAAGGCATCACGACGTAATGACGTCATCAAGCATGTGACGTATGTCTGCAATGCATCAACGCTAAGTTCCTCCTCTTTTCTCTGCTTGGCACAGCCGGAGGCTGACTTGACCACATGTCAGTCACGGTCAGCCGCGCTCGACCGCGTTACCCGTGCTCCTCAAATGACGTCATGTGAGGCCACTTACTAGAAAAATGTGCAAAGTATAAACCAGACGAAGCGAGTGATTTCAGTGGTTTTCGTCCGTGGTATAAATGCTGTGTTTCCCCGCTCTTCTTTTTTCTCAGCCCCATACGTGCTGAACCGAGCAATACGTCTCATAATGTTTGTGAGATTGTGTGATGCTTAGGCTGCTGTGTTATCACCTTATAAACACGAATAAATATTTTAATTCCTCTTTTAGGGACTCAATCGCAGCTTCTGTCTTACACACCGTATAGACTGTCGAGTCGTAGTATTCCTTAACAAAAGACGCGCGACTTCTGGATACACTTCAGCACAATATGTACTACGTGAGAAATCGCGAATGTCACGCAACCAAGCAAACAAAACAAACAAGACAGACAGATTTTCCATCGCTGACTTGAAATTAATTGTAATTTTCCGATTCGATGAACAGATCGTGAGACAGTCTAATCTAATCTAGTCTAATCTAGTCTAATTCTCTTCGCAGTGGCGGTTAGCGGAGTGCTCCACGCGATGACGCGTTAGCCGTTTCAGCCGTTATTTAAGACACGATGCGTAGAGAGCTCACGTTGCATGCTTTACTTCCCAATTGATGTGACACTCCATATTCACAACAGCGCTCAGTAATAGGGGCTGCGTAATAAACCAGTCACATTTACACTTCTTTTGTTTGCAAAAACAATCTACAACCAACTGTGATAATGACTTGGTTGAGGCTTCTGAACATAATTCTCTTCGGTGACGTAATGACTCACCATTAGCCAGTTGTGCCCTGCAGCGCTTCACAGAGCTGCTGAGGTATCGAGCAAAGGGCCGAAACCGGTCAACCGAGATTTTCGTCTGTTCAACTGCATGCCAGACATATGGCCTACTTCGGCTGTAGTAATAGTTTTCACGTTTTCACGTCTGTCCGAACTCGTTCCTCCGGTTCCTTCTGGTTCTCCGGCTTCACTACGCAATTAGCCAACGCGGAGGCTTCACGTCACCGAGAACAAGTTTGCTTGCGAAATGTCGATTCAGCAAGAACAGTTATACATCGCAAAGCACAATACACAGGGCTTCCGGGTAGCAGTGGCAAGCGATGCTCGTGAAGACGGGTTGTACGTAGGAGGTTGTCGTCAAGCTGACTTTGGCTTCGATCGTGCGCAATCACCAGCGCTCTCCGAAACCCAGACTAGCAGCATTCACAAGCGACTGTGGCCGGCCGTAGACCACCTCTAGGATCGCTTCCTTTACGTCAAGCGGCGATTTAAAAAAAAAAATGAACAGGAAACTACCGATCGCTGATGTTTTGGCTCGATCCAATGTGTCGCGGGAAATTCCACATTACGGGTTGTGCCCCGATACTTGAAAGACAAATCCCGGCCGAAATCCCGAGCGGATATTTTCTCCATTGGCGGCGATGCAAGGCATGCGACTTGACATAGCAGATCTTATGATGATGTAGGGTCTAGAGCCGGCGTGCACTTGGAGTGAGTCGACCGGTGCCGACATCGGAACTCACATTGGACCCAGTGTCATTCCCCGCCTAAGTCAAGCCGAGAGCCTCGCGTGGCGGCATATGAAGAAAATCGATATAGTTTTGATATGAGCCAAGTTTCTCCGAACGTCGCGGAGGGGTCTACTGTGGGCGTTCCCTTACAATGCGATCGACTCAAGCCAACGGCGACTAACCTGGTATCGACCCACACCAACCGAGGTCACGCTAAAAACCGTATGAATGGAGCAAAGCACACACACATCACGCCACATCGAGTTCCCACGCACTTCCGACCACAGCGCCTCCTCGCGTCCCAGTCACCCATATGCAGCTCGTGCACGTGCACCCGCGTCCGCAACGTTCTCGGCACCCGCGTCCGCAACATTCTCGGCACCCGCGTCCGCAACGTTCTCGGCACCTCGTCCGCAACGTTCTCGGCACCTCGTTCGCACGCTCTGCGGCAAGGTGCCATCGTGGGCTCGTCAATGAGCTGGCAGCGATGTGCTGGTCAGAGGTATTGAGTGTCGTCGGGCGGGAGCGCTCAGCCCTGGTCAGCGAAGCACCCGGTGCCGTTTTTCAGCAGGTACCTCCGAGCCGAGTCGAAGAAGCTCTGGTGGCTTGTGTTGCCATTAGGACAGATCTTCGTATTGTCGTTGATGTCGCTCTTGACAGTGCCGTTGGCGAAGGCGTTCAAAGCGCAGTCCATTTTTCCGTTGGCTTTGCCGTCGGCCTTGCCGTTGGTCATGCCGTTGACTTTGCCGTTTTGCAGGCTGGCGGCGGACGAATCTCGGCGATCCTTGCCGCCACGCGAGTACGACTGCACGTAGAAGTTGGCGAACAGAATGGACAGGACGATGACGTAGCTCATGGTCATGGCCGAGCTGTAGGCAGGCATGCCGCAGCGAATTCCCGGGCCCTGTGGGCAGAGCGGGCGTGCACCGTGTCACGTTATTGTAACCAGGGGCAGCCTACCACCGTCCAGTAGTACACTTCACTGGCTCCCACTGGGGAGCCGTAACAAGGACAAACAGTGGTTCTTAAATTAATGACGGCATGCATGTAGTTTGAGCCTTTCACCACACAGTTTATTGAGGAACGCCAAAAAAATGTTTGCTTAACTTGATACATGGTGTGGAGAGCACGCAAACGTAATGTGTTTCGGCACCCGTTTTTACCGGGCTTTGACGGATGAAGTGACCAGTCGATGGTCTGTGAGGATTTCTGGATAACGGTTCGCTGGAGAGAACTGATAATTTGTGGATCAAACCTGCATGAATAACATGCAAGCGTGAACAACAGGACTGTGAATTGGCGCATACACAGAGTGTAACCGTCTCTTACAAGAACAGAGAATAGAGAACGGGACGGCCTAAGCAGCGAGGATAGAAGGATAATGCTGAGAGCGAGCCTCACCTGGATAAATAGAGCGGCGAACAAGAGTAAGCCAAACTGGGCCAGCTGCAGCTGGGTGAGGTAGCGTTTCCACCAGAGGTAGGGCCGCACTCGGGGGCCCAGACTAGCCAGCAGATAGTAGCTGTACATAACGCAGTGGACGAAGCTGTTCACTGCGCCTGGTATCCAGCAGGAGCCACCTGGTCGGGGAAACAGAAATGTGTGGTCAATGCTAATCAGATGCAGAAATCAGACGAGAAACAGCCCGAATACCTCACTTTCAACAATACGAGCCATATCAGCAAGTGCTACCAGCCTCACGCCTCATCCCTATATTGCTACCAGCCTCATGCCTCATCCCTATAGTGCTACCAGCCTCATGCCTCATCCTTATAGTGCTAACAGCCTCATGCTTCATCCCTATATTGCTACCAGCCTCATGCCTCATCCCTATATTGCTACCAGCCTCATGCCTCATCCCTATAGTGCTATCAGCCTCATGTCTCATCCCTATAGTGCTAACAGCCTCATGCTTCATCCCTACATTGCTACCAGCCTCATTTCTCATCCCTTTAGTGTTACCAGCCTCATGCCTCATCCTTATAGTGCTACCAGCCTCATGCCTCATCCCTATATTGCTATCAACCTCACACCTTGGACCAACAGTGATGGTCACGGTTTCCTCTGAGATAAAAGGCTCGGCATAATTTGCGATGTTTACACCTCCTCCTCACACCTCGCCCGATGAAATTGCTCGGCTTCTGGGCTTGTAATCGCCGTTAAAAGCGGTGCAATCAGTGGAAAGGCTGCCAAGAGAGATACAACCAGCCCCCCTCCCCTCCCCCCAGCCAGTTGTAGGAGAATGTCCCTACATGCGAGGTCAAATAGCCCGATGTGATAGCCGTCTTACAGCGACGCCAAGCCGATGGCTGATGTTGCTGACGTAGAGGGTGGCCAAATGATGATCTTTGTGAAAATCCGAAAGTTTATTAGACATAGACCCGCCTCGCACACCGCACGCCGAGCCTCACTTCCCAAAACGTCGCCTTCACGCCAGAACCCAAGGTTGATGATCACCTGGAATGAAGAGCGTGCAGATCCACCAGCCGGAGACCATGGAGCCGTGGTGGTACACGTGCAGGTAGGTCATCCTCTTGTGGTCTTTCTTCAATACCAGGAACACCGTGTCCAGGAAGTCGACGATCTTGCTGACGTGGAAGATGTAGCAAGCGTTGACTAGCCGAAGTGACACGGGGTCTTCGGAGACGTCCACCGGTGAGCAGCCCCAATTAGCCGGCCGGCTGACCCAGAACTCCCGCAGCATGTAGGCACTCAGCCACACCTGGGAGCACAGAGCAGACACTCACAGACCAAGAATTCCCGCAGCATGTAGGCACTCAGCCCCACCTGGCGGCGCAGAACAGAAACTCATAGACCAAGAATTCCCGCAGCATGTAGGCACTCAGCCCCACCTGGCGGCGCAGAACAGAAACTCATAGACTAAGAATTCCCGCAGCATGTAGGCGCTCAACCACACTTGATGACACAGAGCAGATATCCGGACGTCCGCCACAGCGAATTTAAGTACTCAAATAAACCCGCAAGAATACAGAGCAACAAAAACAAAAAACAAAAAAAACGATGATTTGTCTTCCACAGTGTTTTTGTGCTCAGACGCGGCGTGCGGTTAAGTACATGGGCATAATGACGACCATCGAAATGAGGAAAGGAGATTGCCCAAGGCTGAGCAGTACCAGGGGTGTAATTTCCTTTTCATTTGGGAAGGGGAGGGGCCTAGGTTGAGGTTGAACTGGGCATAGCCGGAAAGAAACCCGTTATTTGATGTATTTTGACGAAGGGCGTAGCCAGTTTTCCTGGCCAGTCTCTTCCCTCCAGCCTTACGTTACCAAATCATACCCCTGGACAATATAGAAAGATGAACATGCTCAGCAACCAAAATTGCATAATTGTATGAAGTCAAACAAGGCAGCCATGGATATATATATATATATATATATATATATATATATATAAGATGTGTAGCTTACATTTTATGAACTCATGCGCATGATGAGATATAGACAAATGAGAGTGACGCGAACGTCACCAATCCCCGCCATTTCTCAATAACGTGAATATGACTGAAATTTTATCACGTAGGACAGGTAGTTCTTAATCAATATCCGCATCCGTGATTGTCGCCTACTCTTCTGACATGCCATGTAAAATGGTTTAGAGCAGAGGTGTGAATCCATCCATTGTTGTCTCTAGTCAGATGGCAGGCAAATATTGTGTTTTTACGGTCGTGGAAATAAACCCGGTGCAACTTGTTCAACCAACAAGAGAGGAAAAATCATGCACACCTATCTTTACCACGGATTTCATGCAACTGGGCGTTGCTTACAATTTCTCTGGCTCTATAACAGGCTGTTTTCAGCAAAGCCCGCTTACGCCGTTGAGCACCACGGAAATGAGGGACTGGGCAGTGACGTCACTGCGGCTTAGCCACCTCGCGGAAAATATGATCATCTTTGACGAATAAACCTTGACGTTCATTACCTGCGAGCAATGGGCGAGGATTGCGGCCTTCAAAAAAGTGAGGCGGACTAAGGCAGACATTTCTGACAGGGTTAGTATGCAGACATCTGATCTGATACTTGGTTTCCGATGTCTTTGTCCATGTTTCCAACTCGTAATTTATTTGCTGTACTGCGCGGACGAGGGGCGTTTTTTTGCATGTTATGTGTGAGGGTAGGGAAAAACATCATGCATATGGGCAAAATTTCTCCCGCTCTCCCATTGGCCAATCATCTTCCCAATCACAGTTGGCTTACAGGATTAGTCATATCATTGGGATTCCCTCTCAAAGTCCTTAAAAACATGGTGCTGGCCATTGTGGCACAGGCTCCAAAGCGTAGTCTGACAGTGCGTAAGTTCGTGGTGTTTGGTGTTTAACAAATATTTAATGTTTGAAATCCGTTTTTCAAATGTATCAGCGAATTGAGAGACTAAATGCAAAACACGGAAGTTATCTGATGCAAGTACTGCGACTGCAGTGGTGACAAGAGGCAAATGCCGGAATCAGAGCTAATGTCATCTTCTTTCCACAGTCTTAGACATCGGCTGCATGGTTACAGTTACTTAGGCGATGCTGAGGAGTCTCTGCACACCGAGTGAATGAGCCGTATTACACCATTCGCACCCATCGGTGTGCTTTGGATGAACGGCTTACGATCGGGGCCGCAGGTGGAACCAGTCATACTCGAACTCCAGCGCAATGTTCGGCCAGACCAGCCAGGCGCGACCGTCACGCTTTCTGTCGCGGTCCAGCTGGCATGCAACGATCGCAGCTTTACGCCGCTTCCAGCTACAAAAAGCACAACTGTCTTTTAAGTCCTGCCGGACAAACTTGCAGGCATTTCTTCACAAGCTGCACGACTAGGCGTGATTTCCAAGCAACGTTGCACTTTGAACAATGTCTAGACTAACCCATTTGAGTGTAACCTGACGCGCCAAATTGTCAAAATGCAAAAAGCCTCAGGACAGTCAGGTCGGAACTAAGTCTAAGCTAGGTCCCGCTTTCAACCAAGCTTCGCGTTGGCATGACACCAACATAGAAGAGACCGGGCAGCTAGGTTTGGGTCGAGGCGTGCAAACGGTCACGTGCTCTCGAGCACGGACCATGAGTCTGCCCTTTTTCAAAGTCTGGTGCCAAATCCTAGCACACAGATCAGGTAGAGACGTGATAACGACCACACGACAGAGGTGGGCAAAGTTGACTAAAATATTTAACTTCCATTAAAGGCAGACCGTTAAATGCGTAGGCTAAGTTTGAACACATCTGTAAAATTGCTTAAGAAGTTTACGAAAGTTGCGTGCCATCCGTTAACTTTTCAACTCATGCTCTAGTAGGTACCTGCTTTGTACCCTCATACCTGTTCGGAAGGTTAAAATGGCTGAATTGCATGCTTTTCGTATAATGATCGCAACGTCAGACTTACGCTGAGCATGAGCATGCATGCTTTGAAGTTCGTACTCTGTCGCTGAAGGATCGTAAACTAGAGTTCAGGATTCGCTGCAAAACATCGGTTTCTAATCCTAATTTGACTGCTTGGATTTGCATTCGAATTCAAGACTCAAATAGACGTAAATAGATTCGAAGACATAAGAGTCTTTTTCTTTCAAACCTTCAATGTCCTAGAATTCCCATTAAACAAACATTGGTTAACTGAGTCAACGCTTGTGCCAATGGTACATTTCGAACTTGGAGGGGGGCATGGCGCAAACCTGTCTAGGTGTGGAAGTTTTGGTTTTTGATAAGCATGGGCCAAGTCATAGACTTTTCCACACCACATGTGGTAGAAAAGTCTACAGCAAAGCATATTACTAGGTAGGCACGGTGCCGCAATTTCCCGTAAATAATGCTTCGTATGCAGCAGATATATATAGCCTACCAACACGCCTACAGCTGAGCCGGGCACGCAATCCTTGGCTAGGAATGCTTCCATACATGAGTGCAGGTTTAAATCGGCTGCTCCCGTTCTTATTGGTGACCTTTCACTCGCTAGGCCTAGGTTTCAAAACGATCGTATTCGAGGTTCTCGGTACGTAACACAGCACCCATTTCGGAGTCAGCGGGCGTCAAATCCGCACAGTAACGCCAAAACCTCAGAAGCCGTCAGGAATAGTGACACGAAACTTACAGGGTATGAACTTGCGACACGAAACATGCGGGGGAGGGGGGGGGGGGGGGGGGGGGGGGGGGGCATAGAACACGCACAACGCCTAGGTATATCTGAAAGCTGTTTTGAACCTATAACATATTACAATGCATCTATTTACATATTTGAATGACGCGTTTTTCAGGTTTCAACGGCGGTTTTCAAGATTGGAATTTTGATCTGCAGTGCTCGAAATCCTGTTTCCGAGATTCGAGCATTCGCAAGACCCGAATCAGTTTGAACACATTGGAATCCTGCGATTTGGACCCTCAGCTCCATTTCACACTCACTTGTTATACCAATTCCTCGACAGCTTCCCACCGTGGCGACTCCAGCACCCTCTGGCCTACATCAAACGTCTGATAATATTGCGGACGACGCCCGTATTCCACCTGCAGCTTCCTCACCGTTATTGATATAACATGTTCAAAACTGACATATGAACGGGCTCATCATAGATTTTGTTCAGCGAAGACTTTGGTGGCAAAAATAGGCATATAAAACCTTAGGTAAATGTCGCAGTTAACATGCTTCAAATCAGACAAACACCGTCCCGGATGTGACGTTCTGAGGGCCCGGCAGGCGCCTCTTCAGCGGGTTCATATCGCCGCCACGCGCGTCTCTGCCGGGGTGTTCGCATTGTTATGTCTCCATCAGGCTTTAGTTGGAAAATTCGCGATTTTGCGTAACCCAACCAATATAGATACCAACAGAAGGTTGCAAACAGGCACCGTTCATGGCAGTCGACATCTCATTACTAGAGTCAGAAGCCAATAGTAGGAAGAGGTAACAACGCAGTGGAAAAACATTGAATGCAATCACGAAGGTGGCTAGCTCCGGCGTTGGCAGAGCATGGCATGAGAATCGATTGCCTCAAACTTTGATGACAGTATTTGAAGTTGGGATGATTTCCAAGCTCAATGGCTAAACCAGCCCTTGTGCATCAAATGTCTTTTTTGTGTTACTTGTCGTAAAATGCTGTCATTTCAATTCACTTGGCCTCATTGGCGTACTTAAATTTTGTCCAGGAAGGTGCGCCACTCATGATAAAATACTGTTATTAAAGTCATCTTGGTTCCAGCGGTGTACCTCGTCCAGGACGTGCCAGGAGGCAGCTCCCACCTCACCCCCCCCCCCCCCCCATGCGCATCAACATGGGAGTTGCGAATGTCTACCATCACTTTCCCATAAATCTTATCCCCAAGGCAAAAAACACGTGAACCCTCCACACGCTAAAAGCCCAATCACCATCTTTGAAGAGTTTAACGTTTCGAATCTCAATTAAAAAAATATACAGTTGGGTTGAAAACAGCTTCGGCAGAAATAACTGACCCCGTTACTTATTTTCGATGCTAAGGAAAGCGTCAAAGTGTTAACGCAAAAGTGCATCACTTAATTGACGGATAAAGAGTTCAATAGATTTGTGGTCAATCCTGTTGCACAATATGGGGAAACGCAATGTATGCAAACCGCTGACAGATTTTTGCACTGTCCAACCTGTAAGTAGCCGTCGACCGCAACCCGTTGGTAAGACTGGCAACCGGAAAGTGATAATATCACCTCGCCCGAACTGACCTTGAATAAAACAAACTACGGTCAAAACCGAGACCGCTTGGGCGATACAGGTCTCTCTTGGCGATGACAGCTGCTTAATTATCACACCGCTCGCTCCACGCCACAAAAGGTGTTTAGCTGGTCTAGCAATTGCGATTGCTGCGGTTATTTATTTATTGTCTGTCTGTTCAAGGCTGGCTGCTGCTAGACGGTTTCGGATTGGGTAGTCAGCTAGCAGATTTTGTGATCAGCTGATGACCACTGGTCAGTGCAGAATTCTATAATTAGCGCCACTTTTGAGTGTGGAGAGAAGAATGTATTCCCATGACCATTTTAAACATCATGAAATTAATTTCGCTGCATCCCAATATCCCAAGACCGCATGCAGCTTTCCTGTCCCGGTTTAGTTCCCAAGGTATGCCAGACCTTTTACTTTTTTATATTCCCTAGTGTCTTGCCATCCGGTGTGATAGCCAGAAGGAAGGCTGAGTAGAATCTCCCCGTCCTGCAAAATTAGTAAATATTGGAAAGCTTACCATCAGAGATCATAGTTAGGTTTCCATATATATATATATATATATATATATATATATATATATATATATATATATATATATGTACACGCTACATAAAAAGACTTCACATCAAATGTTTTCTCTCCGCAGCTTCTTGTATTTTTTTACCAGTCCCCGTTAGCTCTGACGACATTCCGATGGAGTCAGGGATTGCACGTACAAAAGCAGTTGCAACGTAAAACCTACAGACCTACCGGTCACCTGTTGTAATATATTTCACGCTTGGAGTACGTAACTGCGCTCGAATGACTAAGGGAAAGGTTCCACACTTGACGGTATTGAAGCAAGCATCAGATATGATGGAACAACCTCGCTTAAAACTATTGGTAAACTTTTTAGACGGAAAAGACTGCTCTACACAACAAAATTGTCTGTATCGTAAATATGCTCTTCAATGCGTCATGGTTCGAGTACGTCATGGTACCTTATACAGCATTGATTGAGAGACCAATGACAGCCGTGATGTCTGGAAATCGCTTTCACGAACGCCAGATATGAACGCCTCAACAATTGTATTTTCCTTGGCCTTGATCGCTGCATGACTTATGGAATGGCAGGATTTGAATGTCAATACTATGACGTCACGAAAGCCAAGGTGACTGAAATGCTCTCCCGATATACCTTTCCCCATTTTCGGGGGCGTGCAGCTCAGAAACAAGAGGGGCTTACGTGTAAGGAAGGGCAGGATTGTGAACAGCACCGAAAGGTCCTCCAGAACGTAATTTTAATTCAAAACCCCATATAGATTTGGAGCATTTCTTTTCACGAAATAGATACTATTTACGGTTTGGATCCGTGCGCATATCTTTTCAACAGGCTATCAACCTTCCCAAGAACGGTCAGGTCAGGTTCAACTACAATCCGACCAGGTCAGCTAGCCGGGTCGACCAGCTGACCTGATTGTCGACCGGCCAGCAGAGAGCTCACCTTATCAATATCATGCTTATATCATCATCTACTTCACGATGACACCCACTTCCGCATTCACCTCGCTGAGACATGCCGCAAAAGGCAGGGCATGGCTGGCTGTTCGGCTTGCCAACCGGCCTCTAGGAGCCAAAGTTACCTATTGCGTTGCTGCAAATGAACTACAAATCACTGCGGATATAGATATTAATTGCCACAAGGCCTTATAGTTATGATGGTACCAGCCCCGCGACGTCACGTGGCATGTGCCAGTCCAGTCAACGCATTTGTAAAATATGCTAGGGTAGTACAGGTAGTACAAACGAAGGCTTCGTGCCTATTCACGGTCGTAATTCAAAACCATCCCGTACAATTACTTAATGTCAACTTGTTGTTTGTCATCCGGACCTAGTCGGCCTTGGTCGTTCATTCAGAAAAAGTTACTGCCGCAACCTTGCGAACCACCCTGCTTCTCGCACGCAGCAATTGAAAGATCTATTGCGTCGTATGCCATCCCACACTAAGAAGCACTCCTGTGATGGGTAACTGATACTTTCGCCCCTTTTCATTTAACGACCATGATTAAACCGTCCAATAAAATAGATGCATTGACTTCAAATCCATCAGCTTTGAACCCTACAAATACAGAAACAAGTTGCTGTCCAAACGTGTTTTGTTTGAAAAGAAATAAAATAAAAGTAAAGAACCTGTTTGTACTCCCGCCGCCCATGCTTAACACGCGCCCGGGTGGCCGGCTAGATATTCTTCGCTCGAGTGGCGGGGGGGGGGGGGGGGGAAATTTGAATGCGCTGAGATATCTGGAACTAAGAGAGCTAGAAATACCAAACTTACAGAGTTTCTTGACCTATATGTGAACTGACTTAGGTCAACGCTTGAGCTTCCTAGGTCATAACCTTCCGGTCAAATAAGGTCAAACAAGGTCAAATTCCACGTTGGTTTCCGAAGTGCCCCGAAAACCAAGATAACTGTTTGTAAGCAAAATATCACATATTCAGCTAAGGTCAGTGACCTTGTTTGACCTCTTGAATTTCATAGCGACCAAAATCATACAAGACTGCTCTGGGTTTTGCATTTGAATAAACGACAAAGATTACGCCAGGCAGCATCTCCCTAAAAGAAATGCTGACCTGGGTTATTTCAGGTCAATGACCTATTCTGACTTCTAAGAAGTCTATGGAAGATGTTTAGTGCGGTTCCTGCAATCAATAAATTCGAAATGAGCATCAGAAACTATCCCATACAGCAGGCCCTAAGGTAATAAAGCATGCTGGTTTTAGCCTTAGTTTGACCTTTATACCTGATCTTAGATCAGCATAATTTGCTCATTTAACATTTTATATTTGTGTTAATGCCTAAGAAAGCATTTCAGAGATGTATGGCTTCGTCTAACACTCCGCTGTTGCATCAGATTGAATGATTCCCTAGAAATTGACTTCGCAGAAGCCATGGCCTGACTTTGACCTGCCATAGGTCAGCGACCTTATAAAGTACATCTACCTTCTTTGCCAAACAATTTGCTATTCAATTGTCTACAGCTATGCAACATTTTGCATGGCTGCGCCGCCCCGTTCGGAAACTATTCTGGAAAAACCTTTGGGGTGAGGGGTCAAGTTGACCCCGCCCACCCGAGCATGTGTTATTAAACAAATTTGCGGGCAATGGATTCGGCACCAAACGCTGAAATGTTACTAAAATTTAAATTTTCCTGCTGAACGCATCCCATTTTGAAGTTAAACACGCCAACCGACAACAAAAAACAAATACGCTGCTGAACGTCAGGGATAAGAAAAATTTGATTGCCTTTAAGCTTACTAGGTTTTTCGAATACGCAATCGAAAAGTGCAGGGAACAACTGGCAAGCTTGGTACAAAAATACGTGTAAAGAATATGCCTGTCGTACTCAAAACAATTCAAATCTTTTCTATCTAACACTGAAGCGTGAGTTTCTCACGAACAGTACGCCATAATTGACACAGCTTTCGCTTCTCGGTCAGATATCGATCAAATCGATAGCACCGCTCCAGATTTACTTAAAGCGCAGCATTGGAGGGGTCTCTCCTTAAACCAAAGGTCGGTGGAGAACTCTTTTGAGTGCTGAAACGAGCAGCATAACATTTTAATGTCTGGCTGGTCACGACCTTCCCAGAATATCGAAAACTGTCTGCCAGGCCCACGAGTAACTTAGCGGCCATATTATATTGTTGTAATGCGCACGACTAAAACTTTTTTGTTGAGGGGGAGAAGGGGAGCAGGACTGTGATTTTTCCCATTGTGCCCTGGGCAGGGGCCCTCTTCAAGTATTCCTATGCAGCGTTTTTTTTTCTTTCACGGCAACGCATAATATATTATAAAAACGGTAACACAAGACTATCACACTAGTTCAACTCAGGTGACACGCTGCACTATGGATAAATAAGCAATCATGTAAGTCTAGCAACTATAATATTTCGAAGTCGAAAATATATTTTAGAGGCAGTGCGCACGCTGCCAAGTTGCGCCAACTTGAGGCGTAAATGTTTAGGGATCTGACACATTTATGCTGCTGTGGCTGCCAACGTTCCTTAAATTTTCCCATGTTTTGTACGGTCTCCAGGCCGTCAAAGCCATTTTCCTTCTTCTCTATGGCGCAATGACATCCTGACCCAGAGCCTGTATGGCCTCGGTAAGCCTCTCAAATCAATGAGGATGCAGGGGAGGGTTCTTCAACCCCGGAGCCTTCCGCCCCTTGGTTGCGGCTCTGGTTCTATCCAACTGCATACCTGGCCGATGTTGTACAGGAACATGACGAGCCGAAGAGGCGGCGTCTGGCGGTTCTTCATGAAGCGCGGCCCGTACCCCACCAGCAGCATGTAGCCGAGGACCGCGCCGACCACGACCGTCGGCGAGGCCTGCATGGCATAGTTGCGGACGCGCGGGTCACGCCGGTGCACCAGGCCCTGGGCCAGCTCCCGGAGGTCGCGCAGAGCCTCCATGGCGTGACTGACGCCACACGCCGCCGGCCGACGACTGTCGCCGCTGGCCGGTGGAGAGAATGTCCGTCGATGCGGGCCCGGACTCGGAGCGGCTCCCCCCCCCCCCCCCCCCCCCCGCCGCAGATCTCAGACCGGCCCGACGCCCAGCGGGAAGGTTGCTTTCAAAACCGACAGGAATGCAGCGGAACAGCGGAATGGAACGGTGCAGGGGTGCGGGAATGATTTCAAGCTTGGGGAACGGGACGAAAATGACTCGCCGACCCCATCCCCCACTTTCGTCCCCGGATTTTAGCCACGCTTTTTCGAATCTGGTGAAAGGTGCTATTGTGTTGAAATATGCCTCATCGTAGTATTGTGTAATGAAAAGTATTTAAATACCACTAGTTGTGTTTCCCTTGATTTAAAACATTCAGTCATTAATTGTTCTTATGTGTATATTATGAAACATATAGCCATTTATTTACGATGAGGAAATTATTGCGATGGAGGAAATCACACATGATCAACGAAACGCTAGCATCCATGTCGCAACAATCAAGCAGTCCTCTTAATAACTACCATACCTTACAAAGATATCACAGGAATTTCGTGAAGCATTAAGTACCTTTAATCGATTTATATTAAAGTTCATCTTGAGCTGAGAGTCGTGGAATGCTTGGCCCAGCACATACCGCACCTTGACGTAACGCAGACGGGCCCGGTTTCCGTGCTATTACTGCAGTGACCGGCGTTGTTTTCCTTTCTGACGCCAGGGATTCTCACCAGGACATTGCTAACCTCCGCACTGGTCGCTTTGGTCTGAAGATTATCATGGAAGGATTGCTATGCAATTGCATTGCTATCTAGTCACCATTTCAGGTACTCGCAGCTGCCAGTTGTGATGTTCATCCAACATAAACCAACGGTTCACTTACTAACTGACCGCGAAGGGGAAGTTAGTTCACCCGTCGGGAGAGTTCACGACCCTCTTATCCGATCCGTGTCGTGTTACGCAACGACGACCCTCACGGCAGTACCTCTGCTGCTCAATCATGCGAATCATCCCGGGTCACGTCTGTCCCGACCACGCCGCCCAGTGATTGGTCACCCATCGCACCTGGGTAAGGTATCGTGGCCGCGACGGACTGCGAGTCAGCCTACAGCAGCGGACTGAGAGTCAGCCCGCAATAGCGGACTGTGACACAGAGGACAGCAGCGGACTGCGAGTAAGCAGACAGCAGTGGACTGCCAGTCACCCAACAAGAGCGGACTGTGAGTCAGCGGACAGCAGCGGACTGCGAGACAGCGGACAGCAACGGACTGATTTGTTTAGGTTCGCCGGCGCTCGCCGTACGTTCTTTTGCTGACCGTTGTGTCTGAGCGTAAAAGGTGTACATGTGACTGTGTAATGCACATGCGTGTGTGTGGTTAGGTCTTTTTTGTTTGTGATGTATCTTGTTTTTATTTCCTGTCAAATGACGCTGCTTCGGCAATTGGGCTTTTTTCTGTGAGCTACTTACATCCTAATCAAACAAATGAATTATTTAGACATAGAGCGCTATCAACGTTGCTAGTGTTGGACACAGTTTGAAGGTCGCTATTAACACGCCGACCCTGGTTGATTTTGTAACCTACTTTAACCAAGATATTGTCGAAGACAAAATGATCAGCAGCATCGAGCATTTGTTCGTCCCAACGTTCATTGCTGCACATAAAGCAGTGCTCAGGCGTCGCAAAAACGAGACTCGTTTGTTTGCTCTGCGCGAGTTGGCTATGGCCCATCGTGCGGCTGGATGGGGAGCAGGGAGACGGCGTGGGTTCGGGGACAACCGGTCCGGGCTCGCCGCGTGAAGCGCTGAGCCCGGCGCGGCTAACGGGTCGGGTGGGTCATCTCAGAGGAGACGTCCGGTCGGCGTACGGCGCGGACCGCGCGACTTCCGAGCGGCAGCACCGCGCTTCTGATGTTGGCGAGGGTGATCGATTAATCGCTGATTACAAGGCATTTTGTGTGTGTGTGTGTGTGTGCGTGTGTGTGTGTGTGTATGTATGTGTGTGTATGTATATGTGTGTGTATGTGTATGCGTGTGTGTGCGTGCGTGCGTGCGTGCGTGCGTGTGTGTGTGTGTGTGTGTGTGTGTGTGTGTGTGTGTGTGTGTATGTGTGTGTATGTGTATGCGGTGTGTGTGTGTGTATGTGTGTGTGTGTGTGTGTGTGTGTGTGTGTGTGTGTGTGTGTGTGTGTATGTGTGTGTGTATGTGTGTGTATGTGTATGCGTGTGTGTGCGTGCGTGCGTGCGTGTGTGCGTGTGTGTGTGTGTGTGTGTGTGTGTGTGTGTGGTGTGTGTGTGTGTGTGTGTGCGTGTGTGTGTGTGTGTGTGTGTGTGTGTGTGCGCGCGTGTGCGTGTGTGTCATTGCAGCTTTACGACGCACTCAGCTGCTGAGGCTATGTGGCGTCGCCTGCCTCTCACCCCGGCTGGAAGGACAGGCGCCGTGGGGAATTGAACCCAGTAGCTCTCTTTCTCGGACGCGGAGGACAGTGTTCCGTGATTTTGTGCACAATCCATGTTGATCCTGATGACATTGTGACAAGCCATGCTACCTGATGCACACATATCTGAACCATGTGGGCCCTGATAGGTTGCTCTGATGTTATGGCCCGCTTGTTGCAGGAAATATTATGCCAACACGAACTTCCGAATCTCCAACAGCCGAGTTCGGCAACCCATGCCCTTGGCGGTTTATTCTGCGCCACCGCTCATAACTAGGGTGTGTCGTGAGAAGACTTCTTTTCGAGAACAACAATATGACATAGTTGTAAGATGAAGTGTGAAATATCTGTGATAAAAAAATCGCATTGCCCGAAAACTTTTGGAGCGACATCCACGGATTTGAATTTTGCCGCCCCACTTAACGTGATGAAGGCATGGTGGCACATACAGAAACGTTACAAAAGTAGTAGCAGGTATTCTGCCCAAGATCAGAACGCTTCCTGAGTGCAGTTCCTCGGCGTTGGTGGCTAACGCTAGAGTAGGGAAACTTTGAGAAAAGCTAGTTCTCACGTTTGCAGATGAGTAGCGCAGGATTTTCCATTGTAGAGGCCTGCATCAGAGGGATGGTTTCCATTTCTCTTAGAAGGGTGCACGTTGCTCACTCGCCAATGCGGGCACCAACTGACCGTTGACCTGACCCAAGGCGCCGTGACCCAACCGGCTCAGCGTCCGGGATCCGAGTGAAGCGCCATGACGGATGCGGTCTTGTCACAGTGCTCGAAAGCTTCACGTTGATTACAGTTCGTTCGTTTCACCGGGTGAGACTGTCAGGCTCAGTCAAGATCACAGCCAGTCAAGTCACGAGCAACTTCACTTGTAATTTGCGGGCGAATGCTGCGTGCAAGAAGCTATTTGCCAGCTAAGCTGAAGGGAAATGGGCAATCCAATACATTTGTCACATTGATTTTATAGGCTTCCAAAAACATTATCACATTAATTTTATGGGTTTCCAAAAACATTCTCACATTAATTTTATGGGTTTCGAGTAAGTATACGCATCACCTACGTGGTGATAGTGGTCACACCTGTCTATGTTATCACCATGGTCGTTCAACGCAACAAAAGGCGTCTCCCTGGCCATTAATGTACCTTGTGTATTTGTAGCTCGTTTGGTTGCAGCTAGCCGGCTTTCGGGTCGATGGCTAGCCGACCCAGGATCGGCAGCTAGCCGAATAGCCGATTTTGTGATCGTTTGATAGCTCATCACGAATGCAGGCCCGAAGAATTCGTTTTACCTTTCGGCGTGGAGTGCAAAATGTGTGTACCACTTTTATGAATATAATGAAATCTAAAAAAGTCTCATGTCACATCTCTCGGCATAATTCCAAGCTCATTCTTAGCTTTTACTGAATTTCTGTGCACATTGATTGCTGGATCTAGCGCCTTGCTGGATCTTTGGCAAAGTGTCAGGTTGGCTACTGGTACTCGCGGGATCTCGGGACACATTCAATTCCAGAAACAGGAGGCATAAGCCGGTTCTCGTAAAAAGCGGAAAGGCAGTTAATCCAGGTGCGTTTCTGCCTGATCGCGTGCTTAACATTTACGACGAAATGGAAAACCCGTAGAAAGTGGCCAGCCGGGCCGGTTCCAGCCGGGCTCATTCGCTCGGTGCAAAGACCTCTCCCACGTTCTTTTGAAGGCCTTGCGGTCAGGTTTTCGGCGTGCTTGTAGCAGGTCAAGTTTCACGTATTCTTTTTAAAACACACCCGAAGCTGGATCTCTAAGCAAGCATTCCTGACTTCCAGGGGCACAGGCTCATACCGTTGCTGATGGCGGGCCCAAAATGGATGAAAGCAACGTTTATAGAAACTGAGCCTCGTGAAGCCATTGTCGAAGTTCTATTTTCTCGGAGCGAGGAGAGAGTTATACTGAAAAACAGGTTTCCAGTCACAATAGCAGGCAATAAGAATATTGTCAACTTTGGCGGTCCTTCTCTCGGTTGGAGGGGCGTCAACGCCATGGCCATTAGTTCTTTCATTATCTGACGCCGTGTTACGCAATCGCCTGCCTGCGGCACACGCGAAACAAAATCCCGACAAGGCGCTGCATTGATAGGAGAAAACAGCTGACAAGAAAAAATGATGACATGCGGACGAGGAGAGGTTGTCATAACTTACAATTACGTGGCCAATAATATTTGTCTCCGTCCGGCCTCTAACCCGCATAACGCCTATTGCGTACCAGACGTTTTACCGGACGTTCTACCGGATTCATATCCAGACCAACAATATTACAGCGCTTGTGCTGTGAGCTGGCGCTTCAAATAAAAATATCTGCTCTCGTACCACGGCTGCCCGGAGCTGGTCTTCGTCTGCGCGCAGCAGCACAATCGCTTTATCGCTCAACCCGGTACTAACTGCGCAAAAACACACCTCACCGCGGTGGGAGCTGTTCATTGGAGATCTAACATGCTGGATGATTCCTCCCGAAATGGAACGAGCGAGGTCACGTCTAAGACGCAGCTTGCAAAAAG